AGGGGGTAAGGAGGAGGGGTGGATGTGGAGGGCACTTCAGAAGTGGGGTTGAGGGGGTATCGAAACTGAGTGAGGGCAAGAATCAGGGAGGAGGACAGGCCAGCGGGACTCCTGGGCTTCTTACTTTGTAGTGAAGATGGGGCGAGGCAGACGGGAAAGGGAAGACAACTACGATGGGTTGGAGGGGAGGGCTTGAGGTGCTCATGGTGCCCTGCAAGGGTGAGCAGGACAGGACCGTCAGTTAGACCTGTCCACTGGGTCAAGGGCAGAGAGCTCAAGGAACAGAAAGGGGGTGCCGGTCGAAGGGATTCTTTGGGGGTAGACAAGAAGTGGCACGTGGGAATCAAGCAGATGCTGGCTGAGGCGAGGGAGCAGGGGATGAGAAGAGGCCATCACAAGCCCCAGGAGTGAGTGTGCATGGATACGAGGTAAATTGAGAATCACTCTAAGTTTCCAAGACATGTAAGAACAGAACCACAATACAAAGAGCGCTGGAATAAAAAGAGACCCAGGTTGGATTTTTTTTTCCCCTCTAAAGTTAAATGTCTGGTTCTAGAACTGATTTCTGCATGGCTTGGAGCAAATGACTCAACCTCTTGAGCCTCCGTCGTCTCCTGCAATTATGGAGGCAAGAAGCCTCCTGACATGCCATCTGCAGCGGGAGACCCAGGAGACCTGCTGCTGTCTCTCAGTCCAAGTCCACAGGCCTGAGAACCGGCGGCAACACCAGTGCCCAAGGGCAGGAGAAGGTGGACGTCCCAGCTCATGCAGACACCACAGAGAAATGAGGCAGATGGCACAAGTCAGCTCGATCGCGGATAAAGACCATGTTGGCAGATACGGCCTCCGTGTGCAGCCACAGTGGGCTTCCTAAGGGGAAGACTGGAACCAGACTGACTCACCACCCCATCCTGGGTCGGTGGAAAACCGTGAGCATCTCACTCATGGGGTGAGCTTCCGTAAAAGCCACGGGAAGGAGCAGACCCAGTGGGTGCTCTCTGCACCAGAAAGAGGGAGTGAGAGCTGGAGTGCAGAAACGAATGAGTATTGGGAACAGGGTTTCTGCTCCGAGAGAGACCTCAGGAGTGCAGAGGAAGTGTCCCCCGATACCATGTTGTAGGTCTTGTTTTCTCCTCGGTGTCCAGACACCAGCGCCCAGGCCATCCAGAAAGGCTGGCCCCAGCCAGCGGGAACCCCAGCACGTACTGCTGTGTCAACGGCATTTCCCCCGGAAATGCTGGAGGGTCGTCAGCAGGACTCGGAGACGAGCGAAGGCCATGCAGTCTGCACATCTTGACGGTCGGTTCGGGGAATGAGGAGTTGTTTGGCCATTTCCTGCGGGTCAGCAACCCAACCAGGGAGCATGAAGGAAACCGGCAGGCCTGGCGCTCCATCGAAGCCTCCCAGTACCCTGTCCAACTTGAGTTAGGGGCAGCCAGTCAAACCACAGCCCTGAGTGAAGCCACAGACTGGGAAATGAGAGAAGAGTACAAAGGTAACAGACGGGGAAGCCCAGTCTGGCTGGGGAGCTGAGATGAGCCCAGTGTGTCTGCAACAAGGAGGCAGAGGGGCACCTGGGTGGCTCAGTCATTAAGCGTCTGCCTTCGGCTCAGGTCATGATCTCAGGGTCCTGGGATGGAGCCCCGCATCGGGTTCCCTGCTCAGCGGGGAGCCTGCTTCTCCCTCTCCCTCTGCCTGCCGCTCCCCCTGCTTGTGCTCACTCTCTCTGTCAAATAAATAAAATCTTAAAAAAAAAAAAAAAAGAAACAAGGAGGCAGAAAAGACAGACGAGAATGCTGATGGGCACAGAGCTTATTTTGGGGGGATGAAGATATAAATGTGATGACATTTGGACAGTCCTGTGAATAAGCATAGAAACATTGAACTGTACACTTTAAGTGGGTGATTTGTATGGTACATGAGTCATACCTCAATGAAGATGTTTAAAAAAAAAATAAAGATGGTGTGTTTTAGTGGGTGGACTAGCAGAGGAGAGGCCGGAGTCCCAGGCCTCCCCTTGTTGGGCCAGTGGGTGTGCGCCCTTGGTCACTCTCCTTTCTCGTGCCTCAGTTAGCTCCTCCGGTAGGTGAAGGACGTGGACAAATGGTCCATAAGGTTTCCGTATCTGTTTCCTGGAGCTGCAGTAACAAATGACCACAAATGTGGGGACTGAAAACCACAGAAACGTATTTTGTCACAGTCCTGGAAACCAGATGCCTGAAATCAGGTGCTGTGCTCTCTCCAGACGCTCTGAGGGAGAATCCATTCCTGGCCTTTTCCACACTTGGTTCCTTGGCCTGTGGCCATGTCTCTCTGCTCTGTCTTCACATCTCCTTCTCGTTTGTGTGTCTGTCTCTCTTGGAACTCCCTCCTCCTCTCTCTTACAAGGTGCATGTGATTGTGTTTGGGACCCACGAGGATAACCTAAGAGGTGTGCCTCCTCTCGAGATCCTTAGCAGAGTCACGTCTTCTGTGCATAAGGTAACATCCACACGTCCCATGGAATTGGCACAGATATCCTGGGGCTGGGGGATCTGTTCACAGCCCTTTGCAAGTTCACAGAGACTGGGGAGAACCAACTCACCCTATGTTGTCCCTCTTTCCCATCTCTCTGTTTACCCTAGCTCTTATTTATTTTTTTTCATATTTTAATTTTAATTTTTTTTTTTTTGACTGAGCCACCCAGGCGCCCCCCTAGCTCTTACTTAAAATAACCTACATTTGTATACAGTTTTAGGGTTTGAAAAGTTATTATACATTTATACACTCATTTCAGTCCCATGGAAACCTATAAATTCTGCCTTACCACTATAATTTCATTCTTAAAGAGTAGATGGAGGCTCGGGGAGATTACATTACCTGACCAAGATCACGAGCACTGGAAAGAGCGAGTGCTGGCCTCCAGCCTGAATCCTCGAGCCACAGCTCCACAGTGTGGCTCCCACTGTCGTCACCTGCCTGAATCCTGATATGGCATCAAGAGGTTCTGAGACCCGGATGGAGGAGAAGCATCTGGAGTACATTCAGTTCCCCCAACTCCTCCTGCGAAGCCCAAACACGGACGTTTTATATAAAAACAACATGAGAAGACTCCAAAAGGTGGGCAGGAGAAGGCAGACGGACCGGGGACCTTGGAACCCAAGGATGGACGTAGCAGTGAGTTCCCTGGGTTTTCTTTTTGTCTCATACATGCTGGACTGGGTGCTGGAGAAACAACCCAGAGAGGCCAATGGGCAGAGACAAAATAAAGTCTCAAGAAAAGCCTGCTAGGCTTTCTTCAGCCAAAAAACTAGGGAAAAGGCAATCCAGCAAGACATAAAACTTTTAGATAATAGTTGCCCTACTCTAGCCAAATGCCATGGAAAAACCTGTAGCCCGACACCCATCTTATAAGCAAAGACCAAGTGGGGATCTCAGGGTCCCACACCTGCCCAGCTGGAATGAGGTACTCTTCCCCATGCTCCACCCCAGGCTAGGGTAGTAATAGAGAAGACAGAGTGGGTATCTGGGACTTGCGTCCCTGCCCAGAGGTCATGAGCTCCCCACCCACAGGTAACAAAGTGCCCTTCCCTGTCCTTGCCAGAGTGTCAGAGGAGGCCACCTTGGGGTCTGAGATCCCATATCCACCCAGTGGTGAGGGGTTACCTCTCTCCCCAACTCTCAGTTAATAAAGGAGCTTAAGTAGAGAACCCAGACCTTCACCACTGCCTGGCATTAATGAGGTGATGCCCCCTAACCACAATGGGCATGATGTCAGAGGAATCCTGCTGAAATAGAAGATTTAAATAAGATCCAGTGTCTCATAACACCTAAATGTCCAGCATACAGTCAAAATCATCCATCACACCAAGAACCAGGAAAATCTCAAATTAAAAAAAAAAAAAAAAAAGATGCTTAATTAAAAATCAGCAGGTGCTAACACCAAGATAGGCAAATATTAGAATTACCTGGCAAGGATATTAAAGAATCATAAAAATACTTCAATAAGCAATTATAAATACACTTGAAACAAAAAGTAGAAAATCTCAGTGAAGAAATTGATGATATAAAGGAGAACCAAATGGAAATTTTAGAACTGCAAAATATAATTACCAAAGTAAAAAACTCCAAGGATGGGCTCACCCATAGAATGGAGGAGACAGAGGAAAAGAATCTGTGAACTCGAAGACGCAACAAGCTGAACAACAGTAAGTGGTGTAAACAGAACAGACCTTCCTTCTCCTCTTGTGTTCTGTAAATCATGTCTGACTGTTGAAGCAAAAAGTATAACATGGCTGGATGTAAATTTCAACATATATAGAGGAAATACTTAATAAAGTTGTCCTGCACATGGATAAGGGAGGAAGCAGCTTGAGGAAGGCACATTTTCTGCACCTGTCTCCAGCTGGTAGGTTGTGGACACCATTAGTCTTCATGGTGACGGAGTAATTCTGTATCATGATTTCAGTGGTGGTTACAAGAACCTATGTGTATGATGAAATGCCACAGAACGACACGCACACGTTTGTTCCAGTGTCTGTTCACTGGTTTTGATTTTGTGCTGTAGTTACACACGATTAGCCATGGGGATACATGTGTTCTCTGCTATCTCTGCAACTTCCTATATGTTTAAAATTATTTCAAAATGATTAGGAAATGATAGAAGGGGATTGAAGGGGCATCTTCACAAGCAATTGGGGATCCCTTTGCAATCTAGAGGCCAGGCATGAAGGGAAGTGGGGCTCAGAGGATGGAGGTGTCTGGGCTAGAACCTTCAGTTCAGACCCTAGCCTCACCCTCAAGTGACATCACAAAGCCTCAGATGCCCCGCCCCCCACCTGGAAGTTTTGTCAATCAAGCCATCATCTGAGGACTGTATTTGCACTGGAAGCAGTTGTTCAGCATCACTGAGCAAACTTCTCTGCCTCTCAGTTAACATCCAAGGAAAATGGCGCCACGTGAGCAACAGGGTTGATAGATGTGGGACTGTATGTAGCTCCACACCCAGTTTGAGGATATAACAAAGAGCTGCCTGGTTCTCTCGTGTGTAGCCATTGGGGCAGTCTGCGCAGGCCGCATAGCTCAGCTGTCTTTGAGAAACCGATGTCTTCCTCACAGCTCCCGGCCTTCCTGTGGGACAAGGGCACGCTCACCACCACCATATCTGATCCTGCTTACCTAGTAAAGCTTCTCTTCTTCTTTGCACTCCTGATGCCCCTAGTCACTCTACTCATCCTGGTCTGGAAAGTGACCAAAGACAAAGGCAACAAGAACAGAGGGCCAGATCCAAGAAAGGAGGAAACTCTGCTGGCATGAAGATGGACAGTCCCTGCTGAGGACTCCATTGAGGGGAAGACCCGGAGGCTCAGGAGGCTGGGCCGTCCGGGAGCCTTCTCAGAGCTGGAGCCTGGGGAGGAAGAACTGCTCTGTCCCCACAGGCCCCCAGGGCCGAAGCTCCCCCGCCTCCTCCCTCCTCCACCACCACGTCCGCTGTAATTCTCGCTCATCTGGCTTTTCCCTGGCTGGTCCAGGCGGCCGGGTTTGAATGTCTTCTCTCTGTGGGTCTTCTCGACTGACATTATAAATGGCTCTTGATTTCTGCATTAATGGAGGAAAGAAACAAACACGTGGAGGATTAAAAAATTGATTACAAACCCTAAATTTTCCTTTCTGAATTGGGCATGTGTTGACTCTGGGATATTGAAATTATTGGGAGCTCACAGCATCTCCGATATATAATGATGCTATACCAGAAGCTCAGTTCCAGAAGATCCTTGAAATAGAACAGCTCACCCACCCCCAAATTCTAGGTAAAATGCTCCCTCCTCTTCACCTAATTCTGTGAATAAAAAAGTATTGCCTCTCAAAAAATGATTTAAAGCATCAAATACTTCTCTCTCTTCTCCCCCATCCTCCAGCTTTGCGGGTTGGCAAACTTTAAAAATACCATATTCTAAAATAATAATTTCACTTTAAAAAATCTTTTCTGAGCTTGGAATGAATTAACTCCCTTTTCAAATGAAATCCAAATTAAAGAGGCAGTGTTTTGAAAATCCATATTCTCATTCAGGCTTGAGTTACCCTAAGGAGCATTTGGCCATTTGCCTAGAAGGAATTAGTAGTTTTTTGGAGAAACACCTCTATGTCCAGCCCCACTATTAATCTTTCCTCCTAGAGGCGTCCCGTCATGTGTTCCCTTGTCTCCCCTCCACAGGCACTTGACCCTGGAGTCACAAGCTAAGAACCCCTTCCTCAAAAGCTTTTCCCGTTGCTTAGAATCACGGGACTGTGTTCAGTCATCTCTGACAATGTGCGCCCCCACCCCGCCCCCGGGAATCTGGGCTGCATGTTCTTTTTTTTTTTTTTTAAGATTTTATTTATTTGACAGAGAGACACAGCCAGAGAGGGAACACAAGCAGGGGGAGTGGGAGAGGGAGAAGCAGGCTTCCCGCGGAGCAGGGAGCCCGATGCGGGGCTCGATCCCAGGACCCTGGGACCATGACCCGAGCCGAAGGCAGACGCTTAACGACTGAGCCACCCAGGCGCCCCAAAGGCTGCATATTCTGCATTGCAGCCTAGGCCCCGATACACTTCCACTTTAGCCTATATAAATTCAGGAGCTTGATCACCTGGTGCTGAGGAGAGGCCAGTATGGCTGCCAGACCCAGGGGGAGCCCACCCCTGTCAGCGAGTGTCTCCACCTGCCTCCTCTAGTGTCTGATGGTGGGGTGGTTCATCAACTCCAACAGAGACAGATCACAGCTGACCAGCAACAGGACTGAGAGCTTCATGGCCAAGGAAGATGTACCCCTCTCTCCTCTGCAGCCTGGGCCCTTTTTTCAGAGGCCAGGGGGCATTCCTCTCCAGCTGGCTACCACACCCCTTCTCCATCCAGCTTGCCAGCGTGGGAAGTAGAGGGTGGGGTGGGCTGTTACCCTGAGTGTGCATGGTTTCCACGCATCGCTTGTGGAGAAGGAGCTCAGAGTTGGCAGCAAGGTCCTCAGCACCCCAGCACTCGGCACATCTTTCTCTCCTATCCTGCAGACGCCTGTATTTATCCATCAGATGTGTACTGAGCTCTTGCCATGAATCAGGCTCAGTCCTGAGTGCCGGGGCTACAAGAGGAAGGGGCCCCATCTTCTCTCTTCTGGACCCTGTACGGCACAGTGAGCGATAGATGCCCATGAAGTGATCACACAGGTTAAGTATAAACCGAGAAAGTGCTCTGGAAAAGCACTGGGCTTTATGGGGGCAGGTATGGAGGCAGGTTTGGAAGGAGCCTGGCCCGGGCTGGAGAAGGTGCATGGGGGGACAGCGGGCTGGCCGAGGCTGCAGGACAGGTGGAAGGTCTGCACGTGATGGGTGCAGGCAGGCAGCCCTGCGCTCCAGAGGGAGATCAGCATGGGAGAAGGCCCATAACGGGAGGAGTTTGTTGCGTCCGTGGGATAGAAAGATGGTGCTTCTGGAGCACAAATAGCAAGCCCGAGAATGGAAAAAAGAAGAGCTGGACACGCAGGTGAGAGTGGACCTCACAAAACCCCAGAGGGCGGTGCTCTGAGCCCTCTGAGGCTCCTTTGGTCAACAGCCAAGTGCATGTATTACAGGCCACTCCCTGGGGCCCTATGTCACCCTCCTCCCCAAACTCCTCACACTCCCCAAATCTGTTTTACTGACAAACCAGCTGGGCTGCATTGCAAACTTCTGGCCACCCGATGGCAGCAAAGGGCCAGCAAACCCAGTCCTCGGGCCACACTGGGCACAGGGACCCTCCCTTCCCCACCCAGAGCAGGATAGTGGACCCTTAGGGACTGCAGCCACGTTCTCCACAAAGACGGGAATCTCTTATCCTCAAGATCTCCTGGCTGGCAATTTCATCCTCTTCAAAACATACTATATAATGAGCATCAATTATATGCTGGCTCTTAACATATGGCATATCTATTCTGCCTAAGCACCCCGTGGACAGGACTCTGTCCCTTGCACAGATGGGAAGGTGAGGCTCTGAAGCTCAGAGAGGCTGCTACCTGCCCAAAGCCTCACAGCAGAGCTGGATTACCACCCCTCTCCCGTGTACTTATCAGGGCGTAAGACACCCCGTCTTGGAGGCAGCCCCTCTTTCCCTATCAGAAGTTCCTGCACTAAAATGTCACCAGCATGAGTATGTGTGGTTCCCTTGTGACTGGGGCGCCCTGCGTCTTCCTCTGCCCTGCCACCTGCAGGGCGGTCTGTCTGCTGCCCTGGGCCTGCTGGGACCAAGCCAACGCGTACCAACCACCATAAAGCATTCAGAGGGCAATGGGGACCAGAGGGAGGCGGCAGTGAAGGAGACTAGGATGCTGCTCCCTCCTCCAGGGAGCTGCCAGTCCAGATGTGGCTGAGGACCTCCCTCAGGTCAGTAACAGTCCGGGCTGATTTCTGAGAAAGGCCAAGGATGGGTGCTAATGGAATGCTCCAGGATTTCTGAAGCCAGAGGGGCCCCTGTGGGCTGGATCAATCAGGGAGGTCTTCCTGAAGCAGGTGACATGTTAGGGTACCAGACAGGATTTAGGATCAGAAGGAAGCACGTGACATGCATGACAAGGGACAAGGGACAGTGAGCCAGCCGCATGATGCATGTAGGGGACACCGGGCAGTCAGGTCGAGAAGAGAGTATCAGCAGTGGTAAAGGCCTTGAATGCCAGACAAAGGTTTCCAGATCGGACCAAGAGGGGCCAGGGAAGGTTCTCAACGACGGGAGGGCAGCATAGTGGAGGCGTGGGTGAGAGAGCAGGAAGAGACTGGGGGAAATGCCCCTTGAAATGCCCACTGAACACTAACTCTCCAGTTCCCAGTCCTTCCCTCTTCCATGACTTCGTGCATCCCATTCCTTCCACCTGAAATGCCCTTCTGTCGGCCTTTCTCTGCTCAACAGTGTGTGTGAGCGGGGAGGGGAGTGGAATTCCCAGCTCCGGCTGAAAGCAAGTCAAAGGGATGGGGACCTGGGACCACCGCCTGGCCCCCTGCCCCCCCACCACACCCCTATCCCGGGGGCCAGAGGCTGAGTCCACGGCTGAACCCCATGATACCACAGGTGGGAGTGGCCAGAGGCACCTCTTTTCTTGGAAAAATATAGAACTCAGAGCTGTCTTCTCAAGAGAAGGTGGGAGCAGAAGGAGACCCTGCTGGTCTTTCCCATTCCTGTAGATATTCTCGCTGTTCCGGCCCCGTGACATGCACACGTGTGGTACACGGCCTGGGAGCTGCCCTGGGCTGGGTCAGGAAAGTCAGAGCCAGAGGGCCCTGGGCCATGGAGAATCCACCCTCATCTCACAGAGGAGTCCCTGATGCCCAGAGGGGGTGAGTGGGGCCGGGAGTGTGGGGCAGGGGTCACCGCAGGCGAGCCCGGGTGCCTCCTAGCTCCACCATCTCTTCGTGCAGCCACAAGCACATTCGTTAAGACAGTGACTCTCAGGGGTGCCCGGGGGGCTCAGTCGTGAAGCGTCTGCCTTCGGGTCATGATCCCGGGGTCCTGGGATCGAGCCCCGCATTGGAGTCCCTGCTCCACAGAAAGCCTGCTTCTCTCTCTGCCACTCCCCCTGCTGTGTTCCCTCTCTCGCTGTGTCTCTCTCTGTCAAATAAATAAATAAAATCTTAAAAAAAAAAAAAAAAAAGACAGTGACTCTCAGAGTTCGGTCCTCGGGTGCCCGGGAGTCCCCCAAGGCCCTTTCAGGACATCCACAAGGTTGAAAACTACGTCCATACAAACATTACGATGTTATTTGCCTTTTTATTTTTTTAATTTTTTTTTAAAGTAAGCGCTACACCCAGCATGGGGCTCAAACTCACGGCCCCCAGATGGAGAGCTGCACGCTCTTCCGACTGAACCAGCCGGGCACCCCTGATTCTCCTTTCTTACTCCCATTCTTTCTCAGGTGCAGTTTGTGAGCAACTGTGATTTGTTCTCAAAGAAGCCAAGTGTTAAAGAGCTTTACAAAAGTGACACTGTTCTTCTCTCAAAATGTTGTTCATGTTAACAGGCAATGTTTATTATTGTTATTTTTAAATGAATTAATAAGTACTTTTTAAAGTTTATTGTTAGTTTCTAATACAGCAGATATGGATACATATAACCCCAGGTAAACAAAAGCCCCTGGGGGGTGCTTCATAATTTTTAAGAGTGTACAGGGATAATGGACTACAAAGTCTAAGAACCATGGATTTAAACTCTGCCTCTGTTTCCTTATCTGCAAATTGGACATCGCACTTATCTCAAAGCATGGTGTGATCCCTCAGGTCAAGTGTAGGATGCCTGCGCGGGGCACCATGGTTACTTAGTAACAGTTACGGACAGGTGTTGGGTTTCTTAAGCCAGAACTCCCTCCAGCATCCCCTCAGGGCTGTCCTTGGCTGGCTGGGGGCTTGGAGAGCGGGGCTGAGATATGGGGATGAAGCATCCTGGGCTGTGAAGGCGCTGAGCTGAGCTGCTGGAAGCCGAGGCTGAATTCACAAAATTCTCTTCTGTGCCTGGGGCGGGTCCCTCAGGCAAGGTCACCGAGCAATGAATGACAATCCTATTAGATTGCCTGCTGGGGACGGTGAGAGCCCAGACGGGTCCGTGCACCTGTCGGTCACCGCTCTCACCACCTGAGGGCAGCAACCCCTCGAGGAGAACAGCAGAGAGGGCTCAGGACACAAAATGAGCTCTTGGAGCTTCTCTGGAACAAGAAGTCACTTCAGTGTCTCCCCGAAGCTTGTTTTAGGAGTTGTGACATTTCCCAA